TATATATATATTTATATATGATTATAATAATAATCAAGATAGTCGTTAACACTGTTAAATATATATAAATAATCAAATAAAGGTAATAGTGCTCGAAGAAAGGACGTGATGGTACATCGTGTAGCATAGCTCCGAACGAATGTTGTCCTGTAAATAGACACTGTGTAAAGAAATCCCTTGTATACGCTTATACTAACTAAATACTGAATATCAAAACTTATAGGCCTATTACTTACAACAAACAATAAAGATTTTATTCTTTAAAGTAAGTAATATAAGTTATTTTATATTCAGTATTTTAGTTAAGATACTGTAATTGTAAACGTGATTGTCTTATTGCGTATTGAACTGCTGAAATATTTATAATTTATTTAGATTATTTATATTAGATTAGGCATATGGACCCCAATGTAATCCCACAAAGCTTTTTTGGGTTATCCAGGAAAATCTTTTTCAAATATCTATTTAGTTTACACCTTTAAGTTTTGTCTTCATATTTTGTAGTATTTAAGTGATTTTCCGAATAAATTAAAATCAAAATCAAAATCAAGCCGAGTCAGTGTGTATTTCTAATTGCTACAAATACAAAACAACCACAGCTCCCTCTCCAGGTCATGGTGCACACAAAAAACATGCACGTGGTACGATCAGTAAACAACTGAAGCAAAATGTCGCTTCGCGCGAACCAAAATCAGCTAATATTTTGTAGGCTACCTAAAGGGGAAAAAGCGAAAAAACGATGACAGAATTCTGTACATTGCATTTGCCCAAAAGTACTAAAGTAAAACCTGAATTGTGAAAGAGAAGTGGTATAAATAACATAGAAATGACAACCAAGCTAGACCTAGGCCTGAAGACTTCGAATCAAAAGCTTGGTGCGATTGAATGGTTACAGGCGAGGCAGAGAGGGCTTGCTGTGTCCACTTCTATAGAATCGAGCTCAGATGATGGGACTGGGCCTAGGCCTAAGCACAGACTGACTACGGGATTATGCAATGATCGGGGTAGAATACTGGACAATATTCTAAGAAAACTATATAGAAATTTGTCTGCTGGTCCAATCAAGGATACGTCGTTCCAAAGTGGATTTGGGTCAATTTACAACTTGGAATTTTCACCAGATGGGTAGGGTTTACCACAAGTCACACAGGCCTGCCCCCGCCTAGCCAGCTTTAGCTAGACCTCTGGGTCACTAACTAGGCCTAGAGTAGTAGTAATAAATGACCTAACTAGGACAAGACAAGTGTTGGTGTGTATGCAGCAGCTATCTGCATGCATGCACAGCTAATGTACTTTTGTAGCAACTGATGCCTACTACAAGAGCAGTTTGTAATACTTAACATTAACAAAGAGTGATTGACTTATTATAGTATAGTTAGTACATACAGCAGTATAGTAGTTAGTATAGTAAAAGTAAATGTACTGATATTACTATTAATATTATACTTTAGTAAAAATAATTCTAAAGTCACAATTATTTAAAAGATGGAATGAATATTAAATTTTGGCAAACCTTGTTGTCCATCTTTTAAATGTTTTAAATATATAGATTCATTTCATTCATTTCAGGAGAATGGTGGTAGCAGCATGTGAAAGGAGGGCTATGGCATTGTTTGATCCACTGACTTCAAGAACTATTTGCAGCGTTCAAAATGCACACACAGACTGTGTTAACTGCATCACGTAAGTATACAGTACTAAGGCTATGGCGTTGTTTGATCCACTGACTTCAAGAATTATTTGCAGCGTTCAAAATGCACACACAGACTGTTAACTGCATCACGTTAGTACTGTATACTAACGTGATGCAGTTAACACAGACTGTGTTAACTGCATCACGTTAGTATACAGTACTAGGGCTATGGCGTTGTTTGATTCACTGACTTCAAGAACTATTTGCAGCATTCAAAATGCACACACAGGCTGTGTTAACTGCATCACATATGTATATTTGCAACTAATTGATACTCAACTCAAGATGTTTGGAATACTCCAATTTTACCTACTGTAAATACTCCAATTTTACCTAAATTTTTAAAATTTCTTTATCCTATAACGGAACTGTGATTGACAGGTTGATTCATTCAAATACCTTGGAGTAGTTTTCGATCCTAAATTAACATAGAACATATTGACAAACTTACATGTAATATCTCAAAAAGAATATGCGTTATCCGCCGTGTTAAGTATTATTTACCCCATAATACTCTTAAAATGTTGGCAAATGCTTTAGATATGTCTCTTTTTGATTATTGTGTGTCTGGTCAAATTGTAATGTTAAAACTTTCTAACTCTCTTCATTCAAGTACTGTACTTTTACATAAACTTGGAAGAATTTTACTTTCTGCTGATATAAAAACTCCAGTTGTAGATATTTTAAGTCCTTTAGGATGGTGCAAACTTACTGATAAATGGGCAGGACAATTACTTACAATACTTTTTAAATGTTTAAAGGGCAAAGCTCAATTATACTTATCTCAACATTTTGTTTTCAATTATTGTTTGCACTCGCACTGTACAAGAAGTCAAAGCAATAATACTCTAATTGAACATCCAAGGAATAATATGCAAGGTAAAAGAACTTTGGTTTACAGATCAACTAATGTAATGTTTTATATTGTTAATTGTTTTGCCAGAATGAATAAAATAAAGTAAAATAAAAAAAAACTAAATTATGGAATAACCTCCCAGGTAATAATAAAATAAACTTCAATGACACTTCTAAATTTTAAAATCTCTATTTCAAATCCTTTGTAAGATAACTTATATCCTTTTATTTTTTCCTGCCATGCATATTATTCTCCAATGTAAATTATTGTATTATCAATATTTTCAGAAATTGTTTTATTTTTGTTTATTAAATTGTTTTCTTTGCTTTGTTAAGACTGAACCACTTTGGAAATCAGTGTCTTAGCACTGAAAGTGTTATTTCAGTATAAAGACAAAATAAATAAAATTAAAAAAAATGTTTCCCTTTGCAACAGCATAGAATGAGGGCTCTCCAAAGTTGTTACAAGAAGGCAACATTGAAACTGCAACACATTTTCTTTCTTTTATAGATTTTTTGATAGCCGAACTTTTGCCAGTGGTTCTGATGACAACACTATTGCATTATGGGACATACGTAACCTGAAGTCCAAAGTACGTTCATTCCAAGGTCACACTAATTGGGTGAAGAGTATTGAATACTGCCCTGCTAGTCAACTCATGATTTCATCAGCTTTTGATGACAATGTATTGTTATGGGATATTAACAAGTAGGTTTGCAATATTTGCTTTTTAGAGAAAGTTATTTGTCATTGATTTTGATGGTTCTAGAAACTTATAATTCAATATATTCTCCTTTTTGTTAGTTGGATCTCATTTTCCTTCTGGCATTACTGTATCTGTTGTGCAACATTATTATTAATATTGTTTTTGATAATATAATTACGTATGTCTTTTAAAAAATTTTCATTTTACCTGCCAATTACAGAATAAGTATGTAAAATATAATCTTAATATGGGATTATAATGATATTGAATGATAATTTGATAGAATGATTGTCATAAATGTTGAAAATGATAATAAAAGGTCTCCTGATAAAGTCCACTTGGTGGATAAAAGCTAGAAGGAAAAAATGTGCATTGTTGTTAGTGCGGAGTCTTTATCATGTTGACAATGAAGGTTGTTTTATTAGGAATGTCACATGTATAAAATATATGTTTGAAATACAGGCAGGGTACTTTAGGGGATTATCTTCCAGTTTACTGACCATGGTAACCATGGTAACTGTTCCATTGTGGCTTCCACATGTCCCCTGTAGCCCAATCCAAATTTCTCTCTTGAATTTTAACAAAGGACCATATATATATATATACATTTACAAATTTTATTTATCTCTACGTTGATTATCTAATAGGTATGATGCACAGACTAATGAGCCACTGTACGATTCCTTATTAAACCTGGCCACATTAATGAGAATGAGAATCACTCCTGATGGTACCAAAATGATCCTATCATCTTCATCCAGCATGTACGTGATCATCCACGATCTTAATCTTGCGCACTTGGCAGATGACATGGAAGGGATCAACAATTACATCCATGCAGACGCAACTGAGGGCAGGCAACACGCTCACATTTTTTATCGGAAACGCAACCGGGTTGAGATTGTTAATGACTTTCCAAACAGTTCCCCAGGGGAGGAGTTCAGTATTTCGTCTTTGGTGATTCATCCCCAAGGATGGTGCATGATATCACGGTTAAGCACAGACAACGATAATGTAGAGGTTTGTGAGTAAATATTTATTTGAATATTTAGTGAGTTAGTGATCAAATTGTAAAATTTTAACTTTCATTATTTCTTTTTTCAGTACACATGCGTCCATGATATTCAAGAAAACTGTGCTACAATAACTTTGTGTGAAGAAGGCCGTGAATTCTTCCAATACCATGGATATAACAATCCTTTAAAGCATGAACGATTACTCTACCATATAAATGAGCCAAGTGATGGCAAAGGTTACATAAAGGAACTAAGCATGAGCCCTGAAGGGCATCTTATTTGCTCTTCATTTGGCTACGGAGTACGCCTCTTGGCCTTTGACACCGGAATCAGTGAACTTTGTGACCTGCAGCCTTCCAGCCCGGATATACTGCACGAGGTTAAATCAATATTTAGTCACCGTCAAACGGTGTTAACATCTGCATTTTCGCCAAATCAGTGTCTGCTTGTCAGCGGTTGCCTAAATGGCCGCGTTGTATTCTACCATCCAACATTATAATGTTGGTTGAAAAATTTCTAAACAATGAATTCAACATCATGTGCAATAAATACATTGAGTGTTTTTAAGCTTGTTTGCACAATCTTATCATCATCAACATGTTTTTGAGGTCTTTTGCACAATTTTATATATATAATTTTAAAAAGAAATAACAAGTTATTGAGAAATCTTTGTTACTACAGTACAGTATTTAGGAATTTATAAAAAGCTTGAATGCACATTATTTATCTAAGACCATGATACTTATTACAACAAATTACTGTATATTACTTATAAAAATGTGTTTAAATCATGGCATTGAAGGCTTGTATTTTCAAATAAACCTATTACATCCAGGCAGCTTTTAGACTTAACATTGTATTATTAAAATTAGGAGCTACCTAGGAGGATGACCAAATTATCTTTTATGCCATCATGGCAGCTTTTTGGGGTTAATGTTCAAAAACATTAAACAAGGAACCACGTGGGAGAATGACAATCGAGCAGATCATCCTCTCAGGTAGGTTCTGTTCATTAAAGTAGTGGTTAGTAATACAGGTAATTGAATGGAAAATGAACGTACACATTCATACTTACTGTACAATTACACTACATACCTACATGTCAAGAAAAATCACTTTTTACCTCTAAATAGCTGTGGGGTTCAAGCTTTTGGGTCTTTGACTTAAACCCTCACCGCAGTGATGGTGCCAAGATCTGCTCAACTGAGTGGCTTGAGGCCCTGACAGGGGAGCTATATGAGCATTTAGCTTAGGGCTGGCAAGGGCATCTGGGGAGTATCCCCATACTGCAGTTTGGGTGCTGGCTTGGATTTTCTTTTTTTTTCAGTTACATCTGCTCACTTGTTCTCCGCATAGAGACTCTCGTATTTTGCGCAATATAAATGAATAAACTTTAACCTTTTAACTGCCTGGAAGTTACAGATGTATTTGACAAATTTTATTTTATAGGCATCAAGATATTGTAATGTAACAGTTCATAATTGTTGCAATGTCCGAACCAAAGTCAAATTTAAGATTGCTTCCACGATCACAATTAATTCCAAGCATTCTTGACGAAAAGTTCAATGAGGAAATATGCTAAGCCTAAACAAAGATTAGACCTAGGAAATTAAAGCAGCCCCTGCACCAAATGTTGGAACTCCCCTCCACCTGTCTCTTATACACATCTAGATGTAAGCAATTTAGTAAAAAAATCAGGTAGATTATGGTACCACCAGTCAGTACTCCACCAAGGAAAACTGGTAATTTTATTGAATGCTGCCCTCTACAGAAAAAAATTTGCCAAAGCTCTATAGAATGTAAAAATGACATGATAATAATATAATGATTTAATATAAACACCATACTGTAGTTCTATTGCTCAGTGATTTTTAAAGAAGTGCAGTCTACACCACATTCTCCTTACTACTTGGATCACAAATTTGTTTCCGATCATACTCTGGGGTCTTTAAAGAGTTGGTACTGTTGTACACCTCGCATTCTGATACCTTCTTCCATTCCTTTTTGAAGATTTCATCTGCAACATTTTCACTTCCTTCTTTCTTGTCCAGCTCCATTTTTGTTGCAGCACGTGCTGCTTGGTACTGGGCTCTTGTGACACGCAGGAACTGCACATCACTAGCTATTCGCACCGAGAAATCCGGTAGGTAATGGACAGTGACATTACTGGTAGTACTCACGATGCTCTGCGTGCTTCCTTTTGTAGTGGTAGTGACCATTGAAGCTGTGATGGTAAGAACAAGAAGAATGGACATTTGCCATATTTAAATATCTATCCATGTGAACATTTTAACAAATTATACCTTAATTAACCATAAAGCGCGACATTATTTTTTATTCTTTATTTTCCATTATCACATAATTCTATGTTCTTAGATAAAATAGACTATTTTTATTCCGGAATAACCAATTGTTAGTAATTATAGTCCTTGGGTATGGATTTATTCGGTGTAAACACCAAGGATAGCCCACAAAAGTCTAGAAGAAGACTTATTTCCAGTGGGGTCCTTCTGGTGGTGATTGGACAGTACACCGGGAGACAATCCCCTACTCTTTTCCGAAGAGTGTACTGTGTTCTTTAACGTGCACATGGGCCTTAGATGCACACGAGACCAACGGCTTAAACGTCTCATCCAAAAGATGGTGCGCTATGTAACTTGTATTTCAGCCCTCTAGCTGAAACACAAGGAGGGGCAGCGATGGGAATTGAACCGGGAATCTAGAGATCTCCACGGTTCAGCGCACACATAGTGGCTACCACCAGATTAGCCGACTGAGCTAAGCTGCTCTCTCTGATTTATTTTGTATCATGTTACATTTTGTATTATGTTATTTATTTTGTATCATGTTACATTAAATTTTAACATAATTACCATTATTAGTCAGTAATAAATTTGAGAGGTGATGTGCAATGTATTCCAACCTACGGCCTCACAGTTTAATATAATTTTTTTTTTTTAAACTGCACTGTAAATTACATTTTAGTGATTAATTTTTGTTAAAATGAACTCTACCACACATTTGAATACCTGTACATGTAGGTGTAGCTTGTTTCTTTTGCTATTTTATACATCAGCTTGAATAAATCAATAAAATTGAAGGTTATAACTGTACTTAATGAACCTAACTAAATGAATTCATTTGTAAAAGTCAATAAGGGTAATTCTTAAAGCAAATTCAAAGACACAGACAAACAACTGATTATTTTACATAAGATGAATTCTGCTGTGGTCTACTAAAATAGAAATTACAATTTACAATTAAAAATTACTGTACTTCATGCATAAATAAGATTAATGATGTATTTATACATTTACCGTATTTATTTGAATATAAGCACAAGTATACTGTGCAATATTATGCATGAAATTTCAAATACTGTAAATTTTACATGCAGTCTTGTACACATGTATTTAGTGTCTTAGGGCCTGTTTCTGCTGAGCAAAAAAACATGTGTTTTTAAACGGTTATTAAAAAACATGTGTTTTTTCCCAGTAGAAATTGGGCCACAAAACAAAAACACGGTTAGGAATGCATTCTAAAAATGCGTGTTTTTACAGGTTCATTATTGGGTTTGCGTTCAGAAAACATGTGTTTTGTGGTACACTGTTCAGCTGCAACGCAATACCGTGTTAGTTATGATCCATTGGTGACCCAAATTGACCTCTTCGTTAGTTTGATCACTCGTCCGCGGGAAATTCGGGGCGAAGAAAAAAATTAAACCAATAGGATGACATGCATAAAGATCATACCATACTATTGCAGCATGCGCTGTAGCTCGCAAGAAGTAAGATCAGCTACAACTTCCGTTGGTGACCGTCATTTAAGCTCCGCCCACCTGCCAATGCTGGCATTACCATGTTTAACCGTTTATAAAAAACATGTTTTTGGCGTTATTCAGCAGAAACACACCATTAGTGTTGCATACATTACATCTGTTGTAGTCTAACATAGTCATACATGTTACATTCGTAAAGTAAATTGACAAACAAGTTATTTGTGAGACCTACCTGGCTGACAAAGTGCTAGATGCCCAAAGTAAGCGAAAGGTCCCTGTTCAAAGATTAGATTTTCTTTACCAATGGACACCTCAACTTTTCCTTGTAAAATCAGCACAAAGAAGTCTGCAGGTTTGCCTCTGGTGTACAGGTAAATGTTGTCATCTTTGTGCTCAAGTCGGATGTCACAGATTATGTCTTGCTCCATGAGGCGATGAAGGACATTCTCACTGATCAGTTCAGGCTTGAATGCTTCAATAGCTACAAACAATATCAATAATAATACCAGTGATAATAAGTAAATAATAATAATAACAACAACAACAAAAATAATAATAATAATAACAATAATAATAATAATAATAGTAATAATAATAATAATAACAACAACAACAATATGCACTAAGTTGGACTTAAGGGAATAACTTTTATGTTATTTTCACCTTAACCACAAATTTGTTTCCGATCATACTCTGGGGTCTTTAAAGAGTTGGTACTGTTGTACACCTCGCATTCTGATACCTTCTTCCATTCCTTTTTGAAGATTTCATCTGCAACATTTTCACTTCCTTCTTTCTTGTCCAGCTCCATTTTTGTTGCAGCACGTGCTGCTTGGTACTGGGCTCTTGTGACACGCAAGAACTGCACATCACTAGCTATTCGCACCGAGAAATCCGGTAGGTAATGGACAGTGACATTACTGGTAGTACTCACGATGCTCTGCGTGCTTCCTTTTGTAGTGGTAGTGACCATTGAAGCTGTGATGGTAAGAACAAGAAGAATGGACATTTGCCATATTTAAATATCTATCCATGTGAACATTTTAACAAATTATACCTTAATTAACGTGCGACATTATTTTTTATTCTTTATTTTCCATTATCACATAATTCTATGTTCTTAGATAAAATAGACTATTTTTATTCCTGAATAACCAATTGTTAGTAATTATAGACCTTTTATTTATTTTGTATCATGTTACATTAAATTTTAACTTAATTACCATTATTTTCAATATATATTTATCTGATAATTTATGTATTTATTTTATGAGTCAGTAATAAATTTGACAGGCATGTGCACTGTATTCCAACCTATGGTCTCACAGTTTAATATAATTTTTTTTAAATACTGCACTGTAAATTACATTTTAGTGATTAATTTTTGTTAAAATGAACTCTACCACACATTTGAATACCTGTACATGTAGGTGTAGCTTGTTTCTTTTGCTATTTTATACATTAGCTTGAATAAATCAATAAAATTGAAGGTTATAACTGTACTTAATGAACCTAACTAAATGAATTCATTTGTAAAAGTCAATAAGAGTAATTCTTAAAGCAAATTCAAAGACACAGACGAACAACTGATTATTTTACATAAGATGAATTCTGCTGTGGTGCTACTAAAGTAGAAATTACAATTTACAATTATAAATTACTGTACTTCATGCATAAATAAGATTAATGATGTATTTATACATTTACCGTATTTATTTGAATATAAGCACAAGTATACTGTGAAATCTACAATATTATGTATACATGAAATTTCAAATACTGTAAATTTTACATACAGTCTTGTACACATGTATTTAGTGTCTTAGGGCCTGTTTCTGCTGAGCAAAAAAACATGTGTTTTTAAACGGTTATTAAAAAAAAACATGTGTTTTTTCCCCAGTAGAAATTGGGCCACAAACATAAACACGGTTAGGAATGCATTCTAAAAATGCGTGTTTTTACAGGAATTCATTATTGGGTTTGCGTTCAGAAAACACATGTTTTGTGGTACACTGTTCAGCTGCAACGCAATACCGTGTTAGTCATGATCCATCGGTGACCCAAATTGACCTCTTCATTAGTTTGATCACTCGTCCGCGGGAAATTCGGGGCGAAGAAAAAAATTAAACCAATAGGATGACATGCTTAAAGATCATACCATACTATTGCAGCATGCGTTGTAGCTCGCAAGAAGTAAGATCAGCTACAACTTCCGTTGGTGACCGTCATTTAAGCTCCGCCCACCTGCTAATGCTGGCATTACCGTGTTTAACCATTTATAAAAAACATGTTTTTGGCGTTATTCAGCAGAAACACACCATTAGTGTTGCATACATTACATCTGTTGTAGTCTAACATAGACATACATTCGTAAAGTAAATTGACAAACAAGTTATTTGTGAGACCTACCTGGCTGACAAAGTGCTAGATGCCCAAAGTAAGCGAAAGGTCCTTGTTCAAAGATTAGATTTTCTTTACCAATGGACACCTCAACTTTTCCTTGTAAAATCAGCACAAAGAAGTCTGCAGGTTTGCCTCTGGTGTACAGGTAAATGTTGTCATCTTTGTGCTCAAGTCGGATGTCACAGATTATGTCTTGTTCCATGAGGCGATGAAGGACATTCTCACTGATTAGTTCAGGCTTGAATGCTTCAATAGCTACAAACAATATCAATAATAATACCAGTGATAATAAGTAAATAATAATAATAATAATAATAATAACAAAAATAATAATAATAATAATAATAATAACAACAACAATATGCACTTAGTTGGACTTAAGGGAATATCTTTTATGTTATTTTCACCTTAACATCGTTTTTTTTAATTGTTCTCTAATTTCTCCATTGTCTAAGTTCCCCTTAAGGTAGGTTTTAGTAACATAATACTGTAATAATAATAATAATAATAATAATAATAATAATAATAATAATAATAATAAAGAGTGTAAGTTAACTTTCAAAGTTATGGTTTAGTTTCTGGAAGCTTTAGATGACATCTCATCATCTTTGACATCACACAAACATCAATGCTGACGTGTCAGTTAACTGCCTCATTCAAACGGCTGACGAAGATAGTGAGATGTTAAGTCCAAAGCTTCCAGAAACTAAACCATAACTTTGAAAGTTAACTTACACTCTTTATTATTATTATTATTATTATTATTATTATTATTATTATTATTATTATTACAGTATTATGTTACTAAAACCTACCTTAAGGGGAACTTAGACAATGGAGAAATTAGAGAACAATTAAAAAAACGACGTTAAGGTGAAAATAACATAAAAGTTATTCCCTTAAGTCCAACTTAGTGCATATTGTTGTTGTTGTTATTATTATTATTATTACTATTATTATTATTATTATTGTTATTATTATTATTATTTTTGTTGTTGTTGTTATTATTATTATTTACTTATTATCACTGGTATTATTATTGATATTGTTTGTAGCTATTGAAGCATTCAAGCCTGAACTAATCAGTGAGAATGTCCTTCATCGCCTCATGGAACAAGACATAATCTGTGACATCCGACTTGAGCACAAAGATGACAACATTTACCTGTACACCAGAGGCAAACCTGCAGACTTCTTTGTGCTGATTTTACAAGGAAAAGTTGAGGTGTCCATTGGTAAAGAAAATCTAATCTTTGAACAGGGACCTTTCGCTTACTTTGGGCATCTAGCACCTGTCTCTTATACACATCTTTACTGTGCCCCCCCCCCCCCAGACGCCTCCCAAAATCACGGTCAACTTGTTAAAAAGCACCTGAAATCACTTTATTTTGCGAGTTAGCACCCCCTTAACTTATCATCGAGAATCCCCCTTCCCCTCCCACCAGCACCCCCAATTCAAGACTCCTAGATACGCCATTGGGATAGTAACTTTGGAAAGACGTCTAATTAATATGTTGCAAGAAACAGCATATTTATTATTATAATTAGAGCCATATTTATATTAACATTCTTAAGAGAGAACATTTGGTCGTCATTATTAACAACAAACGACGCTGTATGACAAACTTGAATACACAGTGAGTGAAAAAAAAAATCAATGGACTATGAGCTACCCCAAAAACTAACAAAAACAGCAACTTGCTTACCACCAGTAACAAAGTGACATGCGTATTTATTCAAAAAAAATCCCCGCTCTTTGAAATGCATCCTCAGACCCTTATTTGGAATAAACACCCTCGAATAAAGCCCCGGGCGTTTAATTTTTCCTCAAATAACCCTCATCCCCTTTAACCTGTCTCTTATACACATCTAGATGTGTATAAGAGACAGATGTTATGTACACTCTTTCCCTTCAACTTCAATGCACCAGATATAATATCAACCTCGTCCTTCTGCAAGTCGTTGAATTCATCCGTCACCCGCAATAACTCAAGCAAGCGCTCTCTATTATAAATATTTCCTATCTCTTGTCCAAGTAAAAAATCCAATAATTTGCTAATAGGATATGAAATAGGAAACGTGAATACCATGAAAAACTTGGTGATCCACACGGTTGTAGCGCCAACGGCAAGCCCGTGGCGCGAACAAATTGATTGGGGAACTATCTCTCCGAACACAACAATTCCAGCAGTTGCACCTAAAACCGCGAGGAGACCAGAAGAGAGATCGTCGAGTAAGACTGTGACAGTAGTGTTTACCAAAACATTTCCAAGCAGTAATGTACACAAGAGATAATTACCGGTTTTTCTTATGGGTGCAATTCGCTTTGCATATTTCTTTTCTTTACTGGTACCACAATTTTGAACAATTTTAAGCTCTGTTGGATCTAAAGCCATTAGACCTAAATTTAAACCACTAAACAAGCCAGACATTAGTAATAAAATTATAATGCAAACAATTTGGACTCCAAGAGGAAGGATATATTTAGCGGCTTTCGGAACCACATTCACTGTCAACCAAGCCTGACTGCCCTGATGTATAAATCGTTCCTTTTCATCTTGTAAACAAAGAAAATAATCCAATGAAGTAGTATCTCCATCATCCTGAAATAGTTTTAAACGAATCTCAATTACCACCGTATTATTTTCGTTAGCACCGCGAAATGGCTTAGAATGGTCTGAGTTGCACACTTCGCCCTTTTCCATCTCTTCAGTAGTAAACACACAGACCACGCTCGAGACATCGTCGTACTGGCCTACCAACCGAATGTTGGTAAGCTGATCCGCTGTCACCTGTAGGGCCCCAGATGGTAGGACATTGGTAATTGATTCATCTTCTTTAACTATAGCATATGTAGATAATGCACTGCACTCATATCTGATTAAACTAAGACACAAAATGAAGCAAAACACAATTTGATTAGCCTTCCGTAACGTCCTGTCAATGGCTGCCATATCTTGTGAAAAATAAATAAGTGAGTGCGCCCCCACTGCCTTGAAGCGATTATGAGAGGCGCCCACCATCTCTCTAACTAGCTAGGTTCTAAATAAATCCCACTTCTGTATTAGAAACACCAACCAATATACACGGTATGACATAATTAATTTTTCTCGTTAATCAGTAATTGTCCCATACTTTACCTACATGTCATCAGTGTGGTTCGGAGATGGGGATATTCCGTCGGAATATTTAACCAAAAACCTACAAAACAAATTTCACGTCCGGCCAATTTGGAGTCACCACTGGTTAAAATTCTGCCTTAATTTTTCCCCTAAAAACCTCTTTACAACTTTTCTAATCATCATATTTGAACAAATCAACATTAGAATAATAACTTGAGAAGACATCTAATTAACATAAGGCAAGAACCAATCAGCATTAGAATAATACACTGGCGTATCTAGGGTGTGGGATGTGGTGTGGTGGGGGGGGGGGTTGCGTACGCATATACTATGCCCCCCCCCCACCAGACGCCTCCCAAAATCACGGTCAACTTGTTAAAAAGCACCTGAAATCACTTTATTTTGCGAGTTAGCACCCCCTTAACTTATCATCGAGAATCCCCCTTCCCCTCCCACCAGCACCCCCAATTCAAGACTCCTAGATACGCCATTGGGATAGTAACTTTGGAAAGACGTCTAATTAATATGTTGCAAGAAACAGCATATTTATTATTATAATTAGAGCCATATTTATATTAACATTCTTAAGAGAGAACATTTGGTCGTCATTATTAACAACAAACGACGCTGTATGACAAACTTGAATACACAGTGAGTGAAAAAAAAAATCAATGGACTATGAGCTACCCCAAAAACTAACAAAAACAGCAACTTGCTTACCACCAGTAACAAAGTGACATGCGTATTTATTCAAAAAAAATCCCCGCTCTTTGAAATGCATCCTCAGACCCTTATTTGGAATAAACACCCTCGAATAAAGCCCCGGGCGTTTAATTTTTCCTCAAATAACCCTCATCCCCTTTAACAACCCTCTAACTTACTGTAAGCAAATCTAATTAAAGAATTCTCAACACATTCTATTAATGTTCTACATTTATTCTAATCTGGTTGAGATCAATAAGTCTATGATTACGCAATAACACATTTTGGCGTTAATTATGCGATGTCTCCCCGCCCCCGGAGGCGCCGCCCCCGGGACATAAATACGGTATATATTTAGGTAGAAGGTCGATTTTGCAATTCTGATGATAATTTTTTATTTCTGATTTTTGAATGCTGTTGTTTTTTGTTGTTTTGTGTATAATTTTTAGATAAATTTATCATATTTTTATAGCTATTTTTATACTGATGTTTAATGTCTAGGAAGTGGATTTGGGACCATTTCCGGCAATAGATTTTGTGCAGATTTTCCCCCACAGTCCCCCCCTTCCTTTGTAATTTTCTTTGTTTTCTTGTGTGTTGTACTGTTTGATTGAAGAAATAAAATAAAATAAAATAATTAAAAATATATTTATATGGAATGACCATTTTTTTAAAATTAAAATTATATTTTGTAGGCCTACACAGATTTTCATTTATTGTGTTAATTTAAACGGGAATACGAAAATCACAAGCTAAAAACGAATCGCAATGATAAAACAATAAAATATGCAAATTACTTAAAAAATCAATTACAGTACCTTAACTACTGTAAACATTATGAACAAAAACATAAAAATAACCTAGAAAAATAAAAGCAACCGTATCAGAAGTGCTGGCGTCATTAAATTATGGAACGCCGTTATTAGTTGCTTCGGTTATGTGCAAACACACATTATATGCAATCGTCATGACGTTATGTGGTATGGTCATGACGTTATGTGGTTTGGTCATGGTGTTATGTGGTTTGGTCATGATGTATGTGGTTTGGTCATGATGTTATGTAGTTTGCACATTACGTTATGTGGTTTAGACATGCCGTTATGTGGTTTGGTCATGATGTTATGTGGTTTGGTCATGATGTTATGTGGTTTGGTCATGATGTTATGTGGTTTGCACATTACGTTATGTGGTTTAGACATGCCGTTATGTGGTTTGGACATGACGTTATGTGGTTTGCACATTATGTTATGTAGTTTCGACATGACGTTTCGAGATGTGAAGAAGACGCCATTACCACGCATTGGTATACATTTTAAAGTGATGATAACTGACAAACAGTCCAAATCAGTGGTGCGTAATAAACAACAAGAAGAGAGCGACCGCTCACTTGGTCATACGCAATAATAAGATAGAAATTTTTAAATAAATAGAATGTCTATTTGTACAAAAACAAAAACATATTTTGGAATTAAAAATTAGATGCATAAGATTTAACAAAAATAAATTCTTAAAATTGGAAAACAAAAATTGAATACCTATGGTATTCGAACCCACACCTTCAGTTCTTTAGAACATATGCTTAACCGACCGCTCCATTTATTATTTAGAATGACCAAAATTAAAATACTTAAAATTGAAAAAAACAATTCTTAAAATTGGAAAAAAAAATGAATAAAAAGACACATTTCCGAACTCACGACCTTAACTTATTTACAACACATCCTTAACCGACCGCGCCATTCATTCGACGTGCCTTGCTAGTGGAAATGGCAATGATGTACAGTCCTTGCTGAAACCCTTGTTTTATAGGTGTAGTGGGAACCCATGGGGTCCAACTTGGGGTCAAAAAAAGGCGATGAACGTTTGTCGGATCCAAATCACCTCTAGCTTATGCGATACACTAATTGTCCTGCACGTCCGTTCAAAACTGGCGACGCTGGACGCTTTTAAAGCTTGAAACCCCTGTTTTGTTTTGTAGGTGTAGGGGGAACCCTGAGGTTCAACTTAAAAAAGGACGATAAACGTTTGTTGGAAATTTCCCACTAGTTTGTGTGTACAAAATTTCCTGCACGTCCGTTTAAAATTGCCGACGCTGGACGACTTTAAAGTTTGAAACCCCTGCTTTTTTTGTAGGTGTAGGGGGAGCTCTGGGGTCCAACTTAAAAAAGGGCGATGAACGTTTGTTGGAAATCACCTCTAGTTTATGCGTACAAATTTTCCTGCACGTCCATTCAAAACTGGCGACGCTGGAAAGCTTTTAAAGTTTGAAACCCCTGTTTTGTTTTGTAGGTGTAGGGAAACCCTGGGGTTCAACATAAAAAAAGGCGATGAACGTTTGTTGGAAATCCCCTCTCTCTAGTTTATGTGTACAAATTCGAACGGACGCTCAAACGTCATTTCGAAATTAGGCCTACACATAACATAATGTGCCTTGGTTATAACAAGGAGGTATACAAATATTTTTATACCTCCTTGGTTATAACCTTTGATGTCCCGAGATGTGCGTCCTTCTGTTGAATTGCCTTGGTCCAAACAAACCACATAACGTTATGTCCAAACCACATGATCATGACCAAACCGCATACATCATGACCAAACCGCATACATCATGACTAAACCACATAACATCATGACCAAACCGCATAACGTCATGACCATATCATACGTCATAACAATTAGAGTGTTTGCACATAACCGAAGATACTAACGGCGTTCCATAAACCGAAGATACTAACGGCGTTCCATATTAAAGAGCCAGGATTCGATATTCCGGAATAAGTTGACAGCGCGTTCCACATCAATGCGTATCATCAAAATCACCAAATCATAATAATTTATAATACGAATGAGATTTAGACCCTATTTGAGGTAGGTCTATATTTAGAAAACGCACTCTATCTCTAGCCTATGCCCCTAGTTAAGACTTTATTAAGGTTAGGCTAGGCAAGCAAGGAGAGTGAGAGGCTAGGCCTATATTATAAGCCTAGCTTCGGCTAGGCCCTAGCCTAGTAGGCCCACTTCTCCTCCTACCTAGCCTAGCCTAGAGAGATTTGCTCTCCAAACCACATACGGCCAGCCAGGGAGGTAGGGCTAGGCTTAGGCCTACTTCTTCTAATTTCAAAGGCGATCTCAAAAAAAAAAGTGCACACCATAATAAATGTCAAACTATTGAATCCCAACACTATAGTCTATGATGGTATGTATTACATTTTTTGGATTTTGATTTTAATTTTATTATTTATTTTGTTCACTTTTGAATCAATGCCACCTAGGCCTACCTATCATATTAGTGATGGTGTGCCCAGGGCATATGAACGGTTGAGCCACCGACAAGTTGAGCCTCCGGTCATTTCTATGAAACGCCAAGCGCGTCTCTCAGTGAATGTAGTGCGTTAATTGTGAATACAGATCATTTCGGTCGCGCTTCTTTTCAGTCGCGCTTCATTTCGGTCGCGGTTTGTTTTCAACAAATATATGGAACGCCAATGGAGTTTCGAAACGCGAAATTTATTATAACTAGGCCTAATTATCATTGCAAGTTCGTCAATCGGTTTATCATACTTTTTTTTATTTATGTTTTGTTGTATTTCTAATAAGTAAGTGTTTTTGGTTCTTGCTATATATATTGATATAATTTTTATTAATGCTTGAATCAAATAAAAAATCTATGGAATAAGTATAGTCAATAGATTAGTTTCGTATACGTTTTATTTTTTCTTGTCTGTTACGTTTCCATTTACCATAAATGTTCTGATCATGTTATAATAATATTGTAAAGGAAATATGTATTTCCATATTTATATTTTCCATATAAAATTATCAATACTTTGATAATTTTAAAAGCCTTTTCATGCTTGTGTTATATTCATAAGCCCGAGAAAATCACTCAACTTGCTAGGCCTATTTCTTTAGTTGCATAACTGGAGTATAATTGTGGAAAGAAAAGTTTCCACATATTTATTGCCATGGTACTCTTAAGGAGAAG